TATGGTAAATTCTCTGTGTTAGCCAGCCTGAGGGAGAACTTGATCTTAATATTTTTAAAATAAGAAAGGGCCAGGGATTTAGCTCAGTGGTTTCACCGCCTGCTGCGCAAGTGCAAGGACCCGAGTTCGATCCCCGGTACCAAAAAAAAAAAAGAATTTTTAAATGATTCTAATTGAATGTTAAGAGAAAAATTAAACATGGAACATGCAAAAATAATAGGATGTCTGTTTTCCCATCTAATAGACCCAGTGATTCAAGGTCATGTGGCTGTAAACGTGAATATGACTCATAACCAATTTGCGCTAGCAAACTTCTTTATTTAGTTAATTGCCTTTTTAAAAACTTTTTATTTTGCAGTACTGGGGATTGAGCCTGAGACCTCGTGCATGGTAGGCAAATGGTTTACCACTGAGCTGTATTCTTTTTACAGTTTTGAGGCAGGGTCTTGCTATGTTGTCCAGGCTAGCCTCAAATTTACAATCCTCCCAGTCTCCTGAGTAGGGTGAATTGCTTTTTAAAATAATTTATAGTAAACTGTCATCAGTAGTTCCATTTAGAAGTTAGTAATTAAAGCCTAAAAGCCACAAATCCATATTTTGAAGGTAAAGAACAGAGCTAGTTTAATCTTACCACCAACTGTAAGTGTAATTAAGAATCCTTTTTTGTGGCATTATTATTCATCAAAGCAGGTTATGTCCCACTGTAATAAAAGATTTTCTACATGCATGCACTGATGTAATTGAAAGAGGACCGTAGGTATGTAAAATAGATTTAAAACATAAATATTGAGCCTTATTTAATGATATACATGCTGATATATAATGAGAATATCTGCAACTTATTTTGAAATGCATTGAAAAATAGGGTGTGTTGATAATATGGATAAGGGTTACATATGTGGTGACCCAAATGTAGTAAAATGTTCATTCTAGCATCTGGTTGGTCTTGGGGTGGGGGTGTGCTCACTATAAAATTCTTGAGGCTTTTCAGTTTGAAGTTTTCCATAACATAAAGTCAGGTAAAATATTTAGATCTAAATGACTGTGGGATAGTGAATTTAGAGAGAAGGGTGTAGATGTGAATGCTTTTAGACTAAATTATGAAAAGTTGAGTATTAATCAAGCTTTTTGTACTTGGCATATGTGTCTCAGCTATTTTATTTTTTTAATGGATTTACTTCAGTAAAACATAAGAATTTTAATATTCAGGTTAAGGAACAATAAAATGAATGTCTAGGTAACACCATTCATTTAAAAATTAGGAGCTAGATGTGTTTCTTTTGCTCCATCCCAGTTGCAGCCCATCTTCTACATTGTCTCTGTTAAACCAGATAATCCACATTTGATCTTTTGAGATGAATATTTTCATGGTGTTTTAGTTTTGCTTTGTAAACTAAAAACTACTTTTTTTCATTGCCTGGTTTTAAACTTTATATGAGGCAGTCATTCTGTATGTATTCATTGTTAAGGAAAAACTCATCACTGTGTTTGAGAGGTTCATCCTTACTATGTGTGTAGCTCTGTTTTATTCATTTTCATTGCTAGTTCGTATACTATTGTATGAGTTTATAATATTAACTTATCTTAATTCTACTGGTAGATTGTTTTTGCTTTTTGTGTCTAATATAAAACAGTGTTTGGGGCTGGGTGTTTAGCTCAGTGGTTCCAGCGCCTGCCTCACAAGCTTAAGGTCCCTAGTTCAATCCCGGTACCAAAAAAAACACAAACAATGTTGGTTTGGATGCATAAGACTTTCTCAGTTAGGATATATACTGTACTTTCAAATGGAATGAGTAGTTTGTAGGGTCATGTGCATTTATAAATATTCATTTATTCGTGTTACAATACTGCTGTTCTTTTTTAACTCTAGTCAGAGAATCCAGTGGAGTTGCATGTGGAGAAACAGTTACTGATAAGCTCACTAGTATTCCTTCATTCTTCTTCACTCCTTTCCCTTTCAGTATACACAAATACATGCCCTTCATAACAGGTTTAGTATAGCATATAAGTCCTTGTATTATATTTGAAAATAAAATCCAGTATTTCTTTTTAGCCTTTGTATTAAGTATGGATTTTTTTCTGCCTTATAAATGTCTGCTATTTATAACTACCAAGACCAGAGATTTCCTTTCCTGATATTAGATACCTCGTTCAGTACCACTGTTAAGTTGGAATTATTTTCTACATTCTTTCTTTCCAATAGCATCAGAAGATTGTCAGTTTATAGTTAACTAATTTACTATAATTTATGTCAATAAATACTATATACTATAGTATTAGTATGGAATAATACTATCTAATTATTTAGTTCAGAATGTTTTCTATTAATTTTAATCCAAAATTTATATATTCTAATATTTCAATAATTTTGATGATTTTTTACTGTAGGTATAATTGGTATAGGAAAAGTATATAATTTGATAACTTAATATATTTATATAACCCTAAAATCAAGACAATGAACATATTCATAATGCCCACTAGTTCCCTTTCCTTGTTTGTAGCTTGTCTCCCCTATGCCCTTATAGACAGAACGGATCTTCTGTTAGTGCACACATAAAATTTGTAGAATTCCATATGAGTACAGCTATGTATTAGGTACTCTTTTTCCTCAAGCTTCTTACACTCCTTGTAATTTAAATTCATTCAGTTGTTTATTATTAATATTATTATTAGACTAGTATTTCATTATTAGATACAACATTGTTGGTTCATTTACTTGTTGATGGAAGTTGTTTCCACTTTTTCAGCAGTTGCAGAATACATGCTGTGCACGTTTGTATAGAAGTCATTGTGTGAACATACGCTTTCATTTCTCTTGTGTAAATCCTAGGCACAGGAATGATGAATCGTATGATATGTATATATTTAACTTGTTGAGAAACTCTCAAACTGTTTCCCAAGGTGCTAGGCCATTTTACATTTTCACCAGCAGTACTGAGAGTTGTTCTGCATTGGTTCAGTTGTTTGTGTCTTGGCTAAGGCATAGTATGCAAATTATTTTAATTTTAGCCTTGCTGTTTGGTATGTAGTGATATCCTGTAGACTTAACTAAGGTTTCCTTGATAATTAAAGGTGTTGAAAAGGTTTATGTGTGTGTATTTACTGTCTTTATGTTGTCTTTGGTGAAGTGTCTATTCATATCTTTTTTAATGAGGTTATTTTTATTTTTGGTTGACACGTAGTTACTCCTTATGGGACACTGTGGCATTTTGATACAAATAGCCATAATCATGGCTATTGTCACTACTTGAGACATCGTTTCTTTGTGTTGAATATATTTGATATCTTCTCTACTAGCTATTTTGAAATACTGAATTGTCAACCATATTTAATCCTACTGCAGTGCAGAACTTTGAAAGCTCTTCTTACCAACTGCATCCCTGAACCCATTAAGCATCTCTCTCCATCCCTCCTAATCCCCATACCCTTCTCAGGGTCTGATAATCACTGTTCTGTTCCCTACTCTTTTTGAGTTCAGTGTTTTAGTTTCCATATGTAAATGAAAAGGTGCTGTACTTACCTTTCTATGCCTAACTTATTTTACTTAATATATTGTCCTCTAGAGCTGTCTATATTGCTGTAATTGACAGAATTTTACTCTTTTTATGACTGAATAATACTCCATTGTGTATATTTACCACATTTAAATTTCTGTGTGTCTGTCCGTGGGCATCTAGGGTGAGTCCATATCTTGGCTAGTGTGAACAGCACCTCAATGAAACTATCAGTGCAAATGTCTCTTCTGTATCTTCTGAATTATAAGAGTCATGTATTCTAGACACCTTGAAGATGCTTTCAGATGTTTTTCTCAGTTGTGATTTGTCTTTCATTGCATTTTCTTGCGTATCTTTTTAAGGACAAACTATTTAAGATTTTTGATGAAGTTCTCAAAGGTTTAATGGAGTCTAGAGAATTAGAACCAACAAAAAATACGAAAAGTCTCACACTGCCTAGAATGGTTATAGAATTATCCTGGATATTCACTGGTTGCCACCACAAATTGCATTACAGTCCATCTGTGCAGTGTCCTTTAACTCTAAATAGTGTAATATTTCATTTCAGTAAACTCGTTTTATATTAGGTCATAGGATTTCTTCAAAGTGCTCATTTTTAGTATTTAAGGTTTCTTCCTGGCCTCTGTTTAATACCACCAGGTCCATTTACTTTACTTTGTCCAGTGCCTAGTACAGCTCTAGAGGCACTGAGGTGCTCAATATGTTTTTGCCTTCTATTGTAGTTGTACTTTTTTCAGTGTGCAAATACGTGATTTCATTGTAGCAGGAAATCTCTTGTTCTGTGTATCCTCCATAGGTCACAGTATTGTTCCTGATACACAGGGGACACTCACATAAATATTCAGTGACTAAATAGGATTAATGACAACAGTACATGAGTAAGGTGTTCTCCTAATTAACATATTGATAATATAACCTTTGGCTGTACCTTACTAAGTGAATAAAAGATACTCTCATTTCATATGTGATCATTGCAAATAGATTACATTTTTCTAGATAAAACAAAGATACGTGATTTTTCCTTCAATTTTTAAATTATTTTAAATCATTTGTTGGGGATCAAGGCTAGGATCTCATGCATTTTTTTAACCTGTTTGAAACTAGCATACATACTATGACCACAGCAATGTGAATTCAGCTTGAATCTTTTCCTCCTTTTGCAGCTATACAGTCATTTTCAGATCCATTGGGAAAGGGAACTAGAGGGTTACTGGAGTCTTTTTTATTGATTTTTCTTTTTATGACCCAGACTTAACATTATTGTCATCATTAAAGTCTGCCTAGGGCATATGACATGGAATCTGTAGTCAGTTATGATTTTAAAGTATACCACAAAGTCTGGACTGTTTGCTGTTGTGTATTTTCACTTTGCGATTCTTTCTTTTTTCTTCAGTGAAAGTAGTTCATTAAAACATAAAGACTGTGTATGTAAACATGTTGGGAAAAGATGGCAATATGTAATTTTTTTTTTACTTTGCCTAGGTCCTTGGAACACCAACAAGGGAGCAAATTAGAGAAATGAACCCAAATTACACAGAATTCAAATTCCCTCAAATTAAGGCACATCCTTGGACAAAGGTGAGTGAAAATTTCTTTTTTTAAGAAAGCTCATCAACTAAAGCTTGGGTTTCTTAGTGTTCTTAAACTATTTGGAGACCAGGATAAGTGCCTGGATATAAATGTCTAGCAGGTCTGCACATAAAGAGAGTTGAGTAGTTGTATTTCAGTGCTGCATTGACTGTATATAGTTTTGTTCCTGTTGAATTCCTGTGGAGTGTCAGCCTGCGCCTTCATTTGCTTGCATGGTAAAGTACCTGTATCATTAAAATACTGGAGCAGGATCTTATATATAAATTTTGACAACTTAAAATTTAGAAGTTTATTTACATAAAGGTGCATTATTCATTATCCATATTCTTTTATGTGTATTTTCCTTCCCCTGCTTACTTTCTTATTGATATTTTGGGAGCAGTATTAAAAAGCAGATAGAATTTTTCTGGGAGTATATATGGAAAGCATTTCTAGGATATCACCAGCCATTGGAAAAGGCTGTCCGTAACATTAGAGGGTACCAGTGCTAAAAAGCTCAATTACTAATTTATCAGAAGACAGTTTTTGTTTTGGTACTTAACCAAAATGTTTTTAAGAAATATTGTATTTAAAAGTTTGCACCTCAGTTTAACTTGTCAATTTTGTGATTGACTGTGCAGAGAAGACAGCTTATCCAGGATTACATAGGTAGCTTGTGACAATGACAGGATTAAATTCCTCAGTATACATGCACATGTGTTTAATGCTGAATCTCTTAAACTTCCAGTCATGTGCCATGCACTGTTTATTGATTCCTTATATATTTTTTGTGGCTTAGAATGGTCAACTTTCTAATAATGTGATTCATGCAGAGATGTTCTGTATTTTAAATGTCCACATAACAGTTTGTTCTGGTCATCAAGAAATTCATTTAGTTGATTTCAGATAATTTATAATAAGCAATAAAATAATTTAGGACTATAGGTGAAGTAATTTGCACTTCTTAGAATCAAAGTGTGCCTGCCCCCACTCAACTGTTAACTTTCCTTGAAGTTCTTACAATCTCATTCCATCTCTTCAGAAAATCTCATTACTGTTATTTCCTTCTGAAACAAAGACCTCAGTAGTATTTTAGTGCCATAATTATAGAACTTCACTGACCAAAAGACCAATATGTTCTTCCCTTTCTTTTAGAAATATCTGATAAACACTAAATGGTCTTCAATAAAGTATTCTTGGATTTTTGTACATAAGGTTTATTTTAAATCTGAGTCAGAAGATATTTAGGGGCTCTCACTTGGCTGTAACCCGGAGAATCCCAGATAGCTTATTTTGGATTTAGTTTGAATCCATTAAAGCTGTCACAAGTTAAAAGTGTTAAAATAAGTGATTTATAGTATACTTTGATTTCAACCAGGTTAAGAAGAAAGTAAAAGAATTCTGTGCAATTGAGTAAATAAGGAAATAGGCCAAAATGATTAGATTTGAGTAAGAAGAGTATGATTTATTTTCTGTTTCACCTATCAATATTTTCATAGTTTCTTTAATATTTTTATGATGGAAGAAGACAAGAATAGCTCTTTTTCATATAATCAAAGTATTCAGCAGATGCTGCCCTCTATATATGTATATATGGTCATGAAATCCTATTTTAACTATCCCTATCCTCAAATCAACATTGCCATCAACATTAGTGTATGTCATATTTGGCATTTTTCCTTTGGATTATCTCCTGACAATGGAAGTATTAGCCAGAGTGGAAGGTGAGGAAGGACTGATTAAAATTCAGCCAGCAGAACAGCTGTGATGAATTTGTATGCTTTTAACTTTCCTTTCACCTTCTTGGATTCCTGATGTTTCTGTAATACTCTAGTATTATTCAAACTTGAATAATTTATATAAAGCCCGCCCCTCTACTTATATTTTCATTCCTGTAACCATGTGTAGAATAATGATTTTGTTCTACCTTTTCTGTTAGAATTACTGTAAGCACTTCATATACAGGTGTCCTTTAACATTATTTGGTTTTCATTTCATTCGTATTAATTTCTCAGTACACACAAATTCAGGTGGTGCACTGAAATTCCGTGGTTCTCTTTTGTCAGTTGAATGATCGGAATATGCTTGTGTTGATTTTTTTAAAATAGATTATTGTGGAAAAACCAAATGTAAGATTACTAGAGGTGGTTCAGTTCCCTTTCTCTGCCTTCCCCCATTATGATGGTGGACAACAACTTGAAAAATGCTGTCTTATGCTAGACAGCCAGTGGAATAATTTAAAAATATAGCATAATCCTGTAATGGCTAGAGCATCTTACTATTGGGGTCTGGAAAGTAGGAGTCAAAAATCAAGAACAACCCCCCCTTTTTTTCTTGGTGTCTTCCCTTAGAACCTACTTCAGTTCCATTTCCCGAAGCTGTGGACATGTGAATGTGAACCCTGGTTTCCTCAGCCACTGTGTAGTGCAGCTAGATTCCCCAAGATTGGTAGCTTCTCAAAAGAAGCAGACAAAAATAAAGATTAAGGGAGAAAATATCTTCTGTGAAAATGTGTAATGAGATAAAGTGATACAGATGTATAGGAAAGATAGAGGGAAAACAAAAACACTGAGATGATCCCAGAGTGATGTATGCCAGGAATCCATTAAGTTGCCCTTGACTACTCCATAATAGGTAGTGTAACCTAATTCATTAATTGTGGCTTAAGTAGGGAGAGAAATAGATGCTCATGGTTTTGAGCAGGGATTACTATTCGGTGTGGGAGAACATAAGCCTTCTATATTGATGTATGTGGTTCACTTCAAAGAAGAAAACCAGATTGAAAGTGAAAGGAAGTGATGTAAAAGTAGATTGAGAATTAAGTAGAGCCAGAGGTGAAGAAGCTTAAATTCTGCAATTTGAACGTGAAACCCAGGTTGGGTGGCAGTCTATAATAAATGAACTGAGGAACTGAACACTGGTGTTCCTAATGTTTATGCCTCAGCTTTTTTCTTTTGTAAGGTATTGATTATCTCCCACATCTTTTCTTCTGGTTCTTTTGAAAATGCAGATATGCTTATAAAGGACTATTTTATTTTACTTCTAAGTAAATGTGACCTCAACGTAATTTTCTGATTTGTCCCCCACCCCCGGTCTCCATTGCCCTAACTTTAGTTTAGGACATTGACATATAATAGAATTGTCAAAGAGTCTGCTACCTCCTAATTTCACCTCTTCAGTTTCACAACACTTTAGTCCATCATCATTGCTGTCTGAAAATTAGCTTTTTAAAAGTGTATATGGGAGCTGGGTGTAATGACTCCTGCATGTAATCCCAGCCCTTGGAAGGCTGAGGCAGGAGGATTGAGTTCAAGACCAGCCTGGATTGTGAGTGAGAGCCTGTCTCAGAAAAAAAAATAAAATAAAAGCATATGTGGTACTGTCATTTCTATTTTAAATTATTCTTTGATTCCTCAAAGTCTTTGGGGACATGTGGCATAAAATACAAATAATGACAAGGCAGGTTCTATGTCCTAATTCATAATGTTCTGATTCCAGTGTAATTACTCTCAAAAGTACCCTAGTTTGGATCATAGATTATTCAGTCACTCTGTTCTTGATCTTTTCCACCTTTCCTTTCCAGAAAAACAGATGTTTAAATTCTTGTCTTGCTGCTAGCCTTCCCTAGGGTATTTCATTGCTTGAAACTGGTCATTTTCCCAAGGCCTCCAACTTTCTTCCTCCTTAAATGCATATTGTTAGACAATGAATTTTAAAGTTTTTATCTAGCTAGATTACAAATTTTTATAAGGTTATAATATAGTAGATGTGTCAAGGGGGTTTTTTCCTTGTTTTGAGTACCTGATCTTGCTATCTGTTTAAATTTCAGTAAGACAGATATTCCCATTTTATCCTGATAATAAATAATCCTGTAAGATCAATTAAGTAACACAGATGTCTGCATATTCTTTCAGAGTATTGGAGGTCATAAGTGATATAACTGGTATTGTAGGAGGAAGTAGATTAGAATCCCAAGGGCCCTGATCTCCTCCAGTCATTGTAGGGCTACTAATATGTTAGCCACGTATGAGAGTGTTGTTCAATGTGTAGCTTACATTGAAAGACATTGCAGTCATGTAGAATTTTCTGATGTAATCAAACTGTTTCCTAAGTGACCCCAGGGAAACCATATTTATTTTTACCTCTTGCTATTTTGTTCTCCATCCTACTTAGAGTGTTCTTCTTTCTCTTTTCTGTTCACCAAGTCTTACCCTTTCTCAAGTCTCACTTACTCCATGGAATATTTTCTTTTTTTTTTTGGTACCGGGAATCAAACTCAGGACCTTGTGCTTGCTAGGCAGCTACTGTGCCGCTGAGCTAAATCCTCAGCCCTACCCATGGAATATTTTCTTACTGTACAAGTTCTTCACGATCACTGCATTCCCGTTTTGTATTACTTACTAAGTTATACTATTTATACTACAGCAGTTCCTAATTTCTCTTTTTATAATAATAATAAAGGTATGAATTACCTTAAAATATTTGTTGTGAAGTTTTAGCTCTGTAGGTTATATATATGGTTCCCAGAAAGCATTATCCACAAAAATTAATCTTGCATACTTGATTTCTTAGAACACTATTGACATGCTTTAATGTGAATGAATACTAATATTCCCAACTGGCTAACAGAGTGGGCAGAAAATTGAGTTCTGAGATCTATCAAAATAATCATTTTAGACTTCTTTTAAGATTTTCTTCATACTCTTCCATTTTTTTTCCCCTGACCCTTTAAATACAAGATTTTTCAGAACTTATGAATTTATCTGTTTTAACTATTATTCAGTACATTACCAAAAATGCCCACAGAGAAGCCTGGAAAGCACAAAACCAAGATTGCTGTCCAGCTTTTCTTGTGTATCTCCTATATCTACCTTTTTTGGTTTCTCTGTTTTACTCATTTCATTCACTTGAATTCCAAAAACATAAGACCACATTTCAAATTTCTTTTGGCTCCTAAGATTGCCCCTTAACCTATTTTGTTGTATTGTTTATGGTAAATCATGTTTCATGTACTTTTTCAACCTCCTCTGCCCTAATCCATTATCAATCCAGTATGTTCTCTACTGAAATTTCTGCCTACATCTTTGTTAGTGCTAGAATAATCACTTCCTCCACTTTTCTAATATCCATTTTCCTATGTGAATGGACTTTCTCTAAAGATTGTTTATTGGAGATAGAGGGGGTTAGGGATAGATTGAAAAAGAACACAAAAATCTAATTTTTCATTTGTTCTTTAAATCTTGTGTGTTCTGTGTAACCAGCACTGTGCTAGGTGTCATAAAGTATACAAGAAAGGGAAAATACATAGTTTCTTGTCCTTGAAAAGCTCAGTCAATGCAAGTATTGAATAATGTAAAGTACTATATAACCATATGCTTGATAATATGATGTAATAGTTCAAAGGTTTTCCACGTTCTTGTAAGAGTTACAAAGTAGATCTATAGTGAAGGTGTTGGAGGGGAAAAAGAAGTCTCCTTAAAGATGATAGAGAAGGTAGGCTGTTGAAGGAGAATTAGGATTTAAAATGATAGAGAAAAGTTTAGAAAAAAAAAAGATAGAGAAAAGTTTAGTTAAATATTGCTTAAGTAGGAAGATGTGAATGAAAAGGAAATACTGTGTTCATGTATTCTTGGGAAGGCCAGCCTGACTCTAGTAACTATTTTGTGAACAATAAGAGATTAAATTTGTTAAGCAGATATTTGATAAATATGTGTAGGCCTGCAGTACCATTTCATCAGTGAATGATTTAGGAGAAATTGCATTGCATAGTTAAATACTAATATTTACATATAATTTTCTTATGTGTAGTAGAACTCAGAAAACTCAACTAGCTTTTGAATTAGTGCAACTGAAATTCATGGAGTACACTGTCATGGCTAAGGAAAGTACAGTATTCTTTTTGATTCTTATACGCAGCCTTCCTTAGAACTGCTATCTTCAGAGGTTAGAAAAATGTATTTCTGAGTAGGCTTGCAGTGTATTCAGTTTGCATATCTACCTCATTAAAAAGCTAACTTCGAACATACCTATTTTACTTGGCTTGTGTATTCTGAAAGTCAGTTTTCAGTAGCTGCTGGTAATCATTTTTGATAATATTAAAATGAATTGTGTTACCTCATGTCACTGCATCATTAAATCAATGAAAAATACTCCAAAAATGTTTTTTAAAATAGTGTAGACCAGTTAATTATTGACTTATATGCTACATATAAGCACTTTTATATACTTAGTTTCTTTTCTTAAAGTTCAGCTATTCAACAGGTCCATGACATGGTATCATTTTAGATGATTAGTAGGTTACTCGAGAGCCAGTGTTGGATTGTGCTTTAGAAATATTGATGGTCTGTTCATTTTTTAAACCAGGGGCTTATATTTTGTATATGACCAGAAAGCAGTGTCAGTATTGTAAATTTATCATGAAACTAGTAAAGAGTAGCTCTTTGGAACCATCACAACACTTATTCTGTGTTCTTTAAATTTATTACCACTGTCTTTAGCCATAAAATATTGCCATTTTTATATTGCTCTGATGTGGCTGTGTAATACAGCAGAGTTGGTGATAGCTAAAGTTTGAGAAGCAGCTTAACTATAGGCTTGATATAGTGCGTGAGATTTTTTACAAACAGCCATTTTTAAAGGGCTGAGATTCAGTCTTAACAGTTCCAGCTTGAACTTTGATGGCCAAAAAGTCTGTTGTTCTAGGACATATAAGAAGAAAATTAGCTGTGTTACTTTTGGGTCATCCAAATGCAAATGTACTTTGAATAATTGTTTAAGGATTTGTTTGCATTTGTTCCATACCGTAGACTTTTCTTTTTGGTAAAAAAAAATATATATTTTTTTCTGTTAGTTTCTTCTATGGACTAGTATTTTGTGATGAGAGCTGATATTTGTTTCAATTTAAGAAAATACGTTGCTGCATAGGTGAGGTAGTATTTAAATTACTTTAAAAGTTCATGTCAGTGTTTTGGTTCTTTTGAATTTTTCCTTTCTATATTTTCTTTCTTTGCTTTTTTCTTTTCTTTTTGCTCCTTTTTTTCTTTCTTTCCTTTTTTCTTTTGCTCTTTGCTTTTAGTTTTTAAAGGGGTGTTTTGGGATCTCCATGGCCTTGCTGCATACTTGGCTGGCCATATTTAGTCTGCGCACTAATTGTTAGTTGTCCCAATTGAATCTTAACTTTGTGCTATCCGGTCTTTTAGTATGGTTTTCTATTTTTGTCCACCAGATTGTATTGTGAGAATTTTTATTCTGATGGACCGGATTTTGATCCATACACTAAATCTTAGTTTGCAGACTAAAAGTAATCCGCGGATTATTTACTTTCGCAAAATATTTAATTCTCCCACTGGAAACTATCCTAAAGAATGTTACATTCTCTTAGACTACCCAAGGGAGTTCACAGCCACCGGTGAGTTATGCGTTTTGTTTTTTTGTTCTCAATACCTAGACATAATAGAACCTGCTACCTCCCTTGCATATTTGGCTCCGTTGTGCCTAGGTGTTGGTGTACATTACTATGCATGTCACCTGTAACTGTGACTGTCCCTTAATTGTATTGTTTATTGTATAAATTTTTGTTTAGCTTTTGGTGGGTGAATTGGGCATATTTGCAGACGAAACTGTGTTGAATTTGTAGTGCTAAAAATTGTAGGTTTTTTTTCAGTGAATTTTTCCAAAAAGGAAAGAATGTTCTATATTTTTCCTCAGTAATGGGTGCAAGGGTATGAGGGGGCAAAGCCCACATTGAAAAAGTAAGTTTATACCCGCACTCCTGATGTGATATGTCAGTTTCCTGAAGAGTACTAAGATAATGAGAATGTCAGCAAATAAACATCTTTTAGCAGGGAAGTCAATCCAAAAATGGAGAATAATCCGCGGTGGCCTAATTGTTCTTAGCTCACACAAATTGAAAATATCTAGCTTGAAATCTATAGTTATATAAATTAAATATATAATGTTTCTTTTATCACTCATTAGCAAAAAATGTTTATACTATGTAACTGGGACACATTAATTGTGAAAAATTAATATATTGGGAACTTACATCTTTAAAAAAGCAGGTTAATACGCCCCCTCCCAGCCATGTCTATGGATGATGAATCCAGGTCATAGAAGACCACTTTATTTTGGGAACTTTACTTCTAGATTTCATTTTGATTTAACTTTTTTTGGTTTTGTATTTTTTTAATAAACACACTGGCATTGGAACATAATAAACAAATTAAAATGTTTCTTTACTGTGCCTCACCATTGCACAATCAAAAATTTTTTTGCATACACTGTGGTGAAATAATTTTTAAATTTTGGACTTGCTACTGATGTTTAAAGCTTATAATTGTATAAACATTTTCTATGTCCCCCTACACCATGGATTTCTTATAACATTGGATATATTTTTCCTTGCTGGACTATTCTCTTTTGGATTGACTTCCCCTGTTTGGATTATTTCACTGCATTATCATCTTTAGGATTCGTCAGGAACAGGACATTTCACCTCAGGAGTACGGGTATGTACTTAATTTTTTTTCCCAAAATTTCAGGGCAGGTCTGTAAAACTTGGGAGTAAACATTTTGTGATAATTTAAATAATTCTTGAAATGCAGTAGTAAAAACAGTGTAGGTAGCTGTGATTTATTTTTCATTAATTGTATAGTACGGGTTTTTTATGGTATATTTAGATTGTCAATCTCCTGGGTGATCCTTGACATCTAGATTGAAGTTTAGGAATTGTGGGGTTTTTAAAATTATTATTCTTACAAGAATAAATATTGATGAAGATCTACGAGACCGAAGATTCTGGATGTTAAACAATTTCAATGAGCAAGAAATGATGTGGCTACAGAAAGTTCTTTACTAAAACCTGTATTTCAGGAGTTGTTGGTTCCCTTCTCTTTAGATACAAAGATAATTCAGAAGAGCTAGTTTCTAATTTGGACTTTTATCTTTGGAAGTTCCATGCTACTACACCCTGTATTATTGTCAGAAATCTAAACTCTGGGAGATGTTGAGTTTTAACTGCACGTAATTTTCCACTTAACCTTTATCCACAAAGTACTGAATAAAGGCTTTTCTCATCAAGAGATCTCTTTAAGGGTTTAAAGTAACATCAGATACTGTTTTTAAAGGCAGATTAAATCTTGATTTTAATGTAGATTCTTGGAATTAGTTCTTTTCTATATAGTTTTTAACTCTGACTCCTTGAATTAGGATTTCTGACAAAATAAACAAATACATATCTTCGAACCAAACTGGAAGATCATAGCCAGTAGAACATGAAGAGACATGGGAGTCTTTTTACGATTATCAGAAATAAACTTACAATACTGGTTTATTAATACCTTTAACACAAAAATCTTCATTAATATGAAAATTTTTATTTAAAATAACTCACCATCTAGTTAACCCTACTTTGGAATTTTAGTAGGAAATACTCTTTTTAATGTGATGCTATTTTTAATTCTACTTATGTGGTACCATTATTGGTGCTTAAGCATATTGGATTAGCTAGCAAATAAATTCATACATCAGATAGATGCAGACTTCCCTCAGGAATAAAATACCAGTAGTGTTCAATGTTTTTATGATAAATTTTCTTAGTTTTCCCACTAATTATTTTCTTTTTGCATTCTGGATTTGATTATGGACCTTGGGAGCAAGAGAGGAAGAAATGACCAGAAACAGGAAGATCTAAGCATTTTAAATAAAATTATTTTAAAGTTTCCTCAACTAAGAGTACTCAAAAGCATAAAGACAAGGCAGATTTTTGATCTTACAAAGGGCTTTCTAATATAACCAATAAATTGACTAAGATCATTAGGTTCTGAAATAAATTAAGATCCTACTCCACCCAGTTTCTCAATTTCCATGGAAAATAATCTTTTTTAGTAATGAACTGTGTGTTTTTTAAAGTTTTCAGTTTTTATTAAAGTGCTCATAGTCTTCTAAATACCTAATGAACTCTAGTTGTGACCAGTTCCCCTGCCTTCACCCTAAGTGAACAATACTATGCGAGCCATTGCTGTGTGGGAACCTTAGCCTCCTCATGTCCTTCATCCTTATCCAGGTCTGCATGTCTTTCCTCACTTATGGATCCTTCCCCTCCATTTATGTCTGTTTGCTTCCCTTTGTGTCTGTCCACCTTCATTATCACACCTTTATTTTATCAAGGGATGTTTCACTTTTCCTTAGTATTGAAGACTCTATCCATCTACTATGTTTGTTTCTATTTTCCCCTTTTATTTCTTTAACTACCATAATTTAGAATGAAGTATATTCACCTAGTTCCGTGTATTGATTCCTTTTAAGACACAGATGATTAGAAAGCTTTCCTTTAAAAAGCAAATGTGTTTAATACACTTTACTGTAATATAGCGTTCATTTTATTTCACTCAAAAAAGAGTGACCTGGTCACATTTGTGATAACAGCTACTTGAGAAGACAATGACAGACATTTTGTCAAGTCTAGGTACTCAAGAACAACTTCAAATGATGGTAGGCTCTGCTTATTAAGAAGCATTTGCATTTGTAGACCTAGAATAACAGCTTTTCTTTTTAAAAAATATTGATTGCCAAATTTGCCAAATTTGAACAGTGCCATTCATTACCAACAATTGTTCTGCTAAGATTAATGCCAGAGAGGCAGTCTTTTATTTAGTGCCACAGCAGTCTAAACTTTTAATTTTTTTTATATTCTTCTAGTTGTGCTTGCCTCCAGACGTGGGCCTTTGTCATGTGCCTGTCCTATTTTATATGCATGATTATGATTAGTTAGCATGTGTAGATTTTTCTCCGAGCATTTCTCACATAGACTTTAATTAGCTATTTACCCCAATATGGTGAATCACATGAAGTTAACTCTTTTCATTCTAGAAGGCTCCTTTCCCAAATGTACCATGTTTTTATACATGATGGGAATTAATGAAGTACTCACGGGGTTATTTGCTTAGATTTTTATGGTAAAACATTAATGTCCTTTCCATTTCCTTGTACTTCAGGTCTTCCGACCCCGAACTCCACCAGAGGCAATTGCACTGTGTAGCCGTCTGCTGGAGTATACACCAACTGCCCGACTGACACCACTGGAAGCTTGTGCACATTCATTTTTCGATGAATTACGGGACCCAAATGTCAAACTACCAAATGGGCGAGATACACCTGCACTCTTCAACTTTACCACTCAAGGTAATTCCAAACATTTAGCTCTTCTACCATTTCTGGGAGACTTACACATGCCATGTGCATTGAAGCATTCTTAGTGAACATTTATGGAAGACAACAGTGAACATAGTACTTCAGGAGGAAGGAAGTACTCCCTATTAGACCAGTCTTGTATGGTCTTAAATAAAATATTGGCAGATAAAATTTTTCAAATAGTCAGTTTCTCTAATTTTGGGGGGATTTTTTGGTACTAGGGATCAAACTCAGGACCTTGCGCTTTCGAGGCAGGCAGCAGAACCACTAAGCTAAGTCCCCGACCCAGCTTCTCTAATTTTTTGCAGATTATAATAAATTTTGTTCCCACAGAAATTTAGAGATTTCAGTGAGTGAGGTTTATCACTAATAAGACTACAGTAATGTACAGTGTAATCCTTACCTTTGAATCTGAAACAAAATATTAATATTTCTTGCTTCCCAGTGATTTATATTGTTTTTAAAATCTGGAAATAAGTTGGTGACTGTATTTATATAAATCCAGTTACCTAATAAACAGAGGGAGAAGTAGTCTTTTAAACCTTTTCTAAGAACATATAAGTAAAGAAATAAAAGAAATACAGGTAGAGAAATTCCCACCCTCCCTGGGACTTGGTACAATCGCAGTTGCTGAAGAAATGAAAAGGAAAACTTAAGTTTGTGTGTTCATTGGTGGTTTCCTAACATCTTAGGGGTAGTCATTATATCTTCACCATTTCTGTGTTTACTTTTCCTTTCTGCTTGATTAAGAACCCAGGTGATTTATTCATTTAATCACATGCCCTTGATGATATTATTTTCTTCTTTAAACTGAGCATAAAAAGTGTATAATTTCCTACAGATGAAATAAAAAATAAGTAGTGGATATGTTGATTGTGTTGTTAGCTTAGTTAGCCTAGAAAGTGTGGAAAGTAGAGGGAGAGACTTTTGGGGCCAAATAGAGATACATTCTGTTTATTCTAATTACATTCCCTTACATTTTGAATGCTTTTCCCCATAAACTTTTCTAAAATTGAATGTGTGACACTACATGGCTAAGCAATAGATAATGAAAGCAAAATAGACTTGTTTGTATGGTTTAGTTGATTATAAACTTAAGCTGTTGATAGTAACTGCTAGCAATGCTCATGTAGTCTTAAACTACATTTCAAAAAAAGAATGTCTGGTATCTTGGGACTATTCTGGCTTTAAAGCTGATCAGAAACCATTTGGAATGTTGTTTGGGGCCCTATATACCCCATTTAAGAATAATAGCAAATGCTGGATAGGGAATATAGAAAAGCAGAATTGAAGATAGAGCTAGAAGAAGAGAGATTAAGATACTCTTAATAGCTGTCATAAATACCTCAAGGACAGTCTTATAAAAAGAGTAGCCATATGTTCTTTCTCCAGATTACAAAATTGAAAATAATAGGAAATTAGAGAGCTGTACATATTTGGACTTATTATAAAAACTTAAGTCTATTACAGAAATTGAATAAAAGTACTAAAGTACTATACTGATAGATTAATGATGAAATTTTCACTTAACAGTGGAACAAGTTATTTTCAAAATACACTGATGCACGGAGGATTTAGCTCAGTGGTTCCGCCACCTGCCTTGCAAGCGCAAGGTCCCAGGTTCGATCCCTGGTACCAAAAAAAAAACAACACTGATTTGTGTAAATTGGAAGTGTTCAGGAGAAAGCTGGATAATATTAGATTATCATACATAGGTTTACTCTGATTTGACAAAGTGCTAAACTGAGAGACTGTTGGCCTCTTTCAGAGCAAAGATTCTATGATCCTATGCCATGTAAGTTTTAGACCTTTTGTGAAAACAAGCTTTATTTTTTTCAATTTTACTGGCTTATAAATCCAGGTTTATCTATATAGAGAGGAAAAGTCAAAAACATGAAAGAAATGTAGAGAAAATTAAAATCACAATTCCAAAATAATTACTATGGCATTCAATCACTTTTTAACAAAATTGCTTTTCTGACACATATACTGATAATCTTTGAATATAAAATTACCTCCCATTTTCCCATTAAAATCTCAAATGGATTTCCTAACTTGAATATATTTACAATTATATATTATGGTAGGTTATATACTAATTTAGGAGTAAGGAACTATACTTTTTTGGGGGGGGTACCAGGGATCGAACTCGGGAACTTGTGCTTGCAAGGCAGGCGCCGGAACCACTGAGCTAAATCCCCGGCCCAGGCATTTTACTTTTTTAAGATCTCAAAATTTCCAGTTCTTTATTTGTATCTTTTACATCCATGTCTTTGTAATAAGTAGAACTACTTTTTGAACTAACCTTTTAGAACCATCACATTTTTAATGTGAAGCACTCTTTATATCTCTATAAGGACACCATTGAAAAGCCTGTAAGTACCCACTTACAAGTTTTATTTTCTTCTGTATTGTATTTATATGTTTATTTTCCATACAATATAACTATTTACTGGATTGCCTTTTTTTTTTGGTACCAGGAATCAAACTTGTGCTTGCTAGGCAGGTGGGAGAACCACTGAGCTAAATCCCTAACTACTGGATTGCTTTTTAAAGTGATCTCTAAAAGGCTTAGGCACAGTGACATCGAGCACTTGTAACTGTGTAGTCTTATTTAGCATTAGGAATTACTGAGTTAGTGTTAAATTTGTCTCCTTTTTTACCACTTACATCAGGTGACTTTAAAAGTTTCATAAATGAAGATTGAGATTTCTTTCACCCTATCTTTTCCAAAGAATACTTTGTATCTCAAAATAAATTAATCAAGAAAACCCTTTGTCAGGTATGTGGCTTGGTAACACCTCAAATACTATATGATAATTATGATAAACAGATTTGGGAGGATATTTATTTTTCCAGACTTATTTGGTACATACTCTTCATTATGTATATTCTCATGTATCAGAAATGAGATGATATTTGAACTTTTAATTTGGTCAAATTTTTGAGATTTACATTTTTTGTTATGTTTTGGTTTTGGTACCAGGGATCGAACTTGAGTTCTTGTGCTTACAAGGCAGGCAGCGGCACCACTGAGATAACTCCTCGGTCCTGGTCAGATTTTTAAATTCAGGGTTCAGTTCCACTTTTTACATGTGCCATATTTGAGTGTTTTGTCTTTGTTTTTTGAAATAGGGTCTTACTATGTAGCCCAGGCTGGCCTTGAACTTGCAGCAGTCCTCCTGCCTCAGCCTCCCAAGTGCTGGGATTATAGGCATGCACCACCATGCCCAGCTACAGTAATTACAATAATTCTTTAGTCAGTGGCTTAAATTTATCTATTATTACTAAAGAGAACTAGGTTTAAAAACAATTCTATGAATTTCTAAGCTTTTTTTTTTTAAGTGCAATTCACATATTAACCATTTTTTTAAAAGTAACTCAGTGGCATTTAGTACAGCCACAGTGTTTGTACACATAACAGTTTTTATCAAGTTCCAAAACATTTCCACTGCACCTAATGAAAGCCCTGTTCCCATTAAGCATGGTGACTCTCCATTAGCCCCTCTCTTGGCTACTGACAACAACTAGTTTGGTTTCTGTGTCTATGGATTTACCTATTTTAGATATTTCATACAAATGCAATTATATATGTGACCTTTTGTCTGGCCTCTTTCACTTAACACATGTTCAAGGTTCATCCTTGAACGTGTAGCATGTATCGGTACTTCATTCTTTTTATGACTTCAAAATACTCCACTCTGTGGATGTACCACATTTTGCTTATTCATTTACCTATTGATGGATATGTATTTGGTTTTTTCTACCTTTCAGCTGTTGTGAATAATGTTCCTGTAACCATTCATGTGCAAGTATTTGTTGGAATATTTGTTTTCCATTCTTTGGGGGGTACTACTGAATCATGGGAGAATTTTTTTTTCATTTTTATTTTTTATTTATTTTAAATCGTGATAATTCTATGTTGTTGGTTTGTTTGTATGTTTGAAGCAGGGTCTCACTTTGTAGTTCAGGCTGGCCTTGAGCTCACTGTGTAGCCCAGGATGACCTCAAACTCACAGTCATCCTCCTGAGTGCTGGCATTACAGGCATGTGTGTGCCACCGCACCCAGCCTGTATAACCTTTTAAGAAACCACTATGCCATTTTCCATAGGGCTCCACATTTTATATTCCTACTAGCAAGTTGCAGGAATTCTGATTTTCAGCATCTTTGCCAGCACTTATTTTCCATTCTTCTCGTTTTTCATAGCCATTCTAGTGGACATGAAGTGATATTGTAGTCTTAAGTTTATTGCAATATAATGAATAAGGACTTGATAAATGTTGTTTATTTATTCTCTTAAAATTGCATTCATAAGGCAGGTAAATACAGAAGTAAGTTGACTTGGATTTTAGAATATGGTCTTGAAAATTTAAAAAGTTGGTAGTTTTTAAATTGTTAGCTAGTAGAATAAAACGACCTTAAAAATCTCTCCAGTTCAAATCCCTCAACTTAACTGTGCCACATGCCTTTTAAAATTAAAAAAGACTTACCTGTGTATCTGTAATCTTTGCAAGATTTTTAAAAAGAAGTGAATAATATTTTATTTTGGTATTTTTAAATGATATGTAGACCTGTGTATCAAATATAAATATAAACTTACATGTATCTGAGTATGCATATATTTTTCAGGGTTTGAAGAGCACATGTGTTTGGAAATAGTGTGTGTGAACACGTAGTTTAATATCTGTGGTTATCAGTGTATATGTGATCTGTGAATATCAGTGAAAAGAATGTACATGAATGTGTGTATCTATTCAAGTAGACCCTGTGAATGTATTCTGGGAATCACTTTTCATCAGGGTAAATAGTTGAAATAATTGAAAGTATCATCATTCTGTGATACAGCCTTTCCCAACTCTCCCTTTTTTAGTTTTAAAATACCCTGTCTTAGCAGCCATTCTGAAAACTGGCTGTGATCCCATAGTAGTACTTTCTCCCTGTTCTTACTGTTTTTCTTGAAAGGTATTTTTATATAAGGACACTGCTGTCCAGGGAAGAGGTGTTACTTAAGGTTATTCTGTTTGATACTATGTATTCTGATTTTGGAGCTGTGTTTCCAGTTGGTGATCTTGTTTTCTAAAGCAAAGATATACTTGTTTTGCAAATGCAATTTTAAAGCACAGACTAGTTAATAATAAGTAATTAATGGATAATCAAAATAAAGCTATAATTCAGGAGGTTGAAGAATAACTAGTACTCTGCTTGTTAGTATAGCAAGGGAGAATCCAGAGATTTATTGTAGGGAGAGAACTTGAGAGTAAGTAGTGAGGTTCTGCCATAGGCAGTATAAAGCCCTCCTTCATCCTCACAATAAAATCTCAGCGAGATCTGCACTACTGCCACAAATAAAATAAAGATAATCCCTGATTTATATGCAGTAAATTCTTGGTGAATGTTTGAATCAGCGACACATATCATGTTAAACACAGAATTTATTAATTCATGCAACCAATATTTATTGGACATTTCTAATGTTCCTCCTAGTTTTTATTACTGTTGTTGTTTTAATTAGTAAACCTATCTCTCCAACAAAGCTAATTTCAATTTGATGTTTGTTACTGTACCATGAAAATCAGCCATAAGATGTAATTAGTATTTCATATCGTCACAAATATTTCTGAAATCACCTAGAAGAAGGGTAAAGATGAGTGATACGTTGGTTCACAAACTTAATTACTTTCCACGATTCTGGCTGCAAACTGAATCGTTCTTGAGCCAAATCAAATTTCCCCATAAGGTCAACATTGAACCTAACCATTGAATTTGATTCAGTTTGCAACCAGAATCTTGGGAAAAATTAAGTTCATGAATCAAGGGACAACTGTACAGATAAAAAATTTTGAGATCCTTCCGACTGCCTGAGTCCATGCCTCAGGAAACAATCAGAACTCTGTCATTATTCCAGCACCAGTGCTTGGGACCCTGCAACTGACAGGATTGTCTACATTTAGACATTGGATCCAGTACAAACCTTTGACACAGTTCCCTTCTTTCCTTTTCCTGTTCCCATTGGATCTGAAAAGTTGGATATAGCTAAATGGACCCAAAAAAGTAGATGGAGTTAGTAAGGATAGCTGTTTCTTGTTCACCAATTTATTTCTTATTCCACAGTAGGAATATATTAGGAAGTAAATTGTTTATGTTTAAAGGAGAGTCTGCCTTCAGTTCCACCCACATCTCCAATCCAAATATTTTATCTAGTTTATACGAAGTTCTACCAGTTGAAAATATTTAGCAAACATTGTCCTTTTGAAAGTATAGGATAGGGTTAGGGCTGGGGGTTACTGGAAGGACTGTCAACCATTCAGTGTGATTTAATTTTGAAGAATCTACCACTTAGCTGTATTATGAGAAAGATAACTTTATGGGGAGGTGATGGCATGATGGCATGATGGCATTCTGACTAGGCAGAAGCAGCAGATTTAGGACCTCTAGGAAACAATTAAAATAGGATATTTGGGACATCCAGGAAGCAACTTAAGAGACTGAGGTAGGCTGGATGTTTTAGGGTGAATAGTCAGAGTATAAAGATAAAGAAAGCAGGTGATAAGATACAAAGGAGATTCTAGAAAGCAAGTATTTTAAAAGAAGTTAAGAAAATAGAAAAGATTTTAAAAAGAAAAAAATGGGAAGAGAATCAGATTTTTTTAAAAAGGAGGGTAGACGTCTATTAGAAAATAGAAAACAATGAAAATGGAATTAAAAACAAATTGGTCATGGGGAACAAAAATAAGTGTTCTAGAAACCCAGGACATCAGCAGGTTATATTTCCTTCATTTGAAACCATTAGGCTACTTATTTATAAAATCCACTCTAATCATTATTTGTGGAAAGTAGGAGGTTCCATTGCATCATCTTTGTAGCAATGATTTCTAAATTTATTTTTCTATTATAATACATTGATAAACATAAATATGGTCAACTCATCTACTTACCTGACTTTTTGTATCCTGAGCATTTTCTTCTAGCTTTCATTACCCTCAAACACATCTAAAATAGGCACAGTATTTCAAGTACCTGAGGTATGAAGTATTTTCTGATACTAACTCTAAAATTACTGTGAACACTGAACTGGAGTATTTTAGTTTTTAGATTTATAATTTACAAGAGCAATGATAAATTTATACAAGAGGAGAATGCTTTATAAGTGTAAAAGATGTTGGAGGAATTAGTGTCTGAATAATTGTTTAATATTTTGCAAATTATCTAGAAAGTAAAATTTTTAGTTAATCAGGCTGTGCTCTCTAAGCATTGAAATGTAAGAACAGTGGAGGCACACTATGGGAGAGTCAAAAAGATTCATGAGTAGCCTAAGAGGGGTAAGTCAGATTTAGTTCAAAGTAATTGTAGTACTAATGGCAAATAATGGTGACTGTAAGATCAAGTATTAGTTGTAGATAAGAATTGTCATTTTTTACTTCATGAAGGATTTGTGAATATCCCTCCATATTTTCCTTTCTCTTTATTAGCTATCCCTTTCCCTGTGCAAAGCCAAAATGATAGTCTAATACTTAAAAGGGGGGGGGTGGTCCCAAACCCTTCACCTATATATGCACACACATAAACATACCACTTCCCAAACTAAGGCAGAAAACTACTATGGCCTTCAATTAGGCATGCAGATACACAGGATAAGTGATATGGTAAGACAGTAAATGAACAGGAGAAAACGGGCAGCGTGGCCCATAAGGAGAGTGATCACAGGTCACCGGTACCCAGTTTATTTTAACTACTGTCTTAACTTTGTCAAACATCGTATATTAAAACCTCTGGTCCTGTTTTTTTCAGGTTTTTTTTTTAGATATTGGGCACATAGTCATAGAGATATTTTAATCTGAAAGTGCCCCTATCCTTAATAGGTTGAATACCTTTCTTGCCAGCTTGTTGGTTCACTTCCATTTATATTTGTTAATAAGACAGGACTATTTATTTTAAATCTTTCTATCCTGGGACTTAACACAGTTTCATGCTTATTATTATTAGGATATATGAGTGGATAGATAGATGGATATATGGGTGGATTTTAAAGAATCTTTCCTACTTTAGGAGATTTAATTGTGATGATAAATCTAAATTTATTTCAGGTTTATGAAGAGTAACTACCACATACCGCATTAATACTTTTTATATTCCTTGAACCATAAAATCATCCATCATGGCAATTACCAGAAATTCTCTTGCTTGCCTAGGTAAAAGGTTCTAGGTTAAAATTTGACTGATTGTGAAATAAAATGACACAGAATTTTCCTGTTCCTCAATGAGAACCAAAACAGCCACTAAATCTGGTTGTGAGGAAACAGCATCTCTCAGAACCTGATAATTAGCATAAAAGTGTCCCAACAGTCTTCCCTCTGTTTTAAGCTTGTCCTCTTGTTCATTATACATAAATTTTCACATTGGTTTATTGTGTTTCTTTGTCAGAACCTGGTATCATTTGGACTCTAATTTAGTACAAAATTTACATATTTAGGTGCTGAGTTGTTAGGGGCTTAGGGGTGGAGTTAATAGAGAGTGACTGTTTTATGTATTTGGAGTTTCCTTTGGGATAATGGAAATGTTGTGGAACTAGATAGAGGTAACAATTGTTCAACCTTGTGAATGTACTAAATGGCACTTGAAAGTGGTGAGTTTTATGCTATGTGAATTTTACCTTCATTAATAAAAGCTCTATTTCCCAACTTATTTTAGTCCATGCCATATCTATAAATTATCAAAAAATATATGCTGTAGCTTGGAGGATATCTTCCTATAGCTAGTATGATCCTGTGGTTATTTCTTCAAAGTGTGATACTTAACTAGAGTGAAAATGAGCACTCATAGGTTAATGCTGAATTGCAGGCATAGTCCGGGGTTATCTCAGGCAGTGGAATAACAATCATATTTCTTAAAGCTAACACTAAACACTCACCATCACTAGTTACTACATATCTACATCATTAGATGCAGCATCGTCGTAAAATAATTTCCAAGGCCTGGAATTTAGCTCAGCGGTGTAGCGCCTGCTGGGCAAGCATGAGGTCATGAGTTTGATCCCCAGTACCAAAAAATAATAATAATTTCCTAAGCCTCCCATACAGAACATAAACTTGAGTAAAACCTTATTGTTTTTAGTAAAAAGCATGAGATTTTAACAGATGTTTCTTAAATCCTGCTTTTTATGGTATTTGAATAGGTCTTTAAGTAGTTGGGTAGGTTGGCCTGTACATCCATTTGTGCGTGCATACACATAGAGATACATACCAGACATACTCATATTCTCATCTATAATATCTTCACCCTCAATTCCAGTATGTATTGCCAGAGTAGAATAGCATATTTATATCAATGAAAGATGAAAACCTATCTTATTAATACACTTGCTCTCGAGATTTTGGCTACTCCTTTTCCCCAAGGTACCCATACTTTAATTTTAGCAGATAGTACATTATTTCTGTGAGCTTGCACTGTGTTGATTACTAACTCATTACCTAGTTGGATATGTAGGTTTATCATGTCTTTTTTTCTGTTTGTGTGTGCACGCACATGCACTTATGGTTACCAATAAAACGGTTTCAGAGACAAGAGTTAAAAGTGGGCTCTTCATGTTTTACCTTTTCTAGAACTGTCAAGTAATCCACCTCTGGCTACCATCCTTATTCCTCCTCATGCTCGGATTCAAGCAGCTGCTTCAACCCCTACAAATGCCACAGCAGCCTCAGGTGAGGACACATGTCAACTTCTTAAAAAAAAATGTACTTTTTTTTTTTTTAAACCACGATTACCTCCATTTCATTTCATGTGATTGAGTATAAACATTTAATTCCTTTTAAGTATCAAAAATATACCACAGCCAAGGGAACAAAAGCAAATAAAATAATGCTTTAGTTACAAAATGCACAACAAAAGTATTTCATTTATAATTTTAGGGTATAAATATCTTAATTTCTTGATTAGTATATATTAAATAAGATGCTTATGGCAGAAAATAGCCCGTATAAATGTAATATTATTTAAGAGAATTCACTTTAGTTCTAGTCCTTTTGATACAAACTACGTTAGTATACTGGAGAGGCAAAATTTTAAGAAGTATAGGTTGCTGTAAACTTTTAATCATTTGAGAGGGCTGAGTGCAATGAAAATGCATTTAACTAAGTTTTAGAATGAAATGTGACTAGACTCTTGTCTCCAAAAAAAGAAAGGAAGACTCCCCTATGGACTCACAGGTTAGAGCTAAAGTGTGCTGCTGGGCCCTTAAGCAGCTAAATGGGACCTGATTTATTAAAAATCACTGTCATTGCAGATTCTGAAAATACCCAGTCCTTGAGTGAATGGCTGGTTGCTGTTAAAATGAAATTAGAAACACTATAGGTAGCACAATTAGAGGCTTAGGATTTGGTAACCCCCTCCAAAAGAAGCAAGTGGCAGAAGCTGACTCTGTTTTCATTAAATCATCAATCACTTTGAACAGACCCCTTTTTCCTTGAGGAAATGTATGCTGTGGGAGAGAAAAATCTTTCATTGCTACTAGTTCTTAGCATTCGACCGTAAAAGTCAAAATCCATCTCCTGTTACCTGAAGCAGAGTTGTCTGTTTTCATCCAGTCTTAATCTTTTAAAATATTGTTAATAAAAATTAAAAACATTTCATTCTAAGTTCATGTCCTACCTTCTAGTAAAAGTCTGGAAACAGTCTCTTTTCCAGTCCCAACTCGATCAAGATATGCTACATATAGAAAATCATTTGAACTTTATTAGCTTTATTAGTGTCTTATTTTTTTTCTCTTTCTGTAAAATGTAGCAAAACTATCCAAAAGTAATACTGTGAAAATCAAATATTTACTGAAATGTGCTTTAAATTTTTAAATGTAAAAATAATAGTTTCAAACACTAACCTTTTTTACTTAGAACAAAGACAGAATTGCTTAGATGAGCTATTAATAAACTGAATACATTACTAGCTAGGTTAGATTACATTGATTGTTCACAATATGAAATACTGTAGGCCTGACCATGAACTAACACATTTACTGATTAAGCTAGTTTCCATGAGTTTTATTAGAATTGCTTTAACTGTATGTAAAAATGAGGATTATAATTAGTAAGTTTGGAGTAATTTAAAATAAATTTTTAGTACTATTCAGGAGGCTGAGGCAGGAGGATCGAAAGTTGGAGGCCTGCCTGAGCAACTTCAGGAGACCTTACCTCAAAATTTTAAGAAATAAATAAAAAGAGGCTAAGATACAGCTCAGTGGTAGAGCTTTAGTACAGCTCTTTAGTACAGCTATCACTATATTCAGTCTTTAGTACAGCTATCAATAAAAAACTAAAAATTGTTTTTTCTTAGTATGAGATACTGAACTAGTTAATGATTGCACCTCAGGTTCTAGGTTCATTATTTGCCTGGACAGAGCTTGATGTAACCTGATTTTTATGGTGTTTTGGTACAAGTTACAGTAGTTACCAAAAAATATGAATTGCTACATGTGTATACTGCTATAAAAAGCAGGTATCAATGTAAAAATGGAAAGTGATATTGGACTTTTTTGACCCTAAGAGTTTTTACCCTAAGGGTATGAGGAAGTTAACAGAGGGAATAATGAGTTGATGTCAGAGCTAAAATTAGAAACGTGTCCTGTACTAAAGAGGGTATCAGATAGTGCTGAGCTTTGTAGTGGCTAAAACAAATAACAGACTGTCAAAAGTAAGGAGAAGCAGTGTTTCTGGCCCTACTGTTCTCCCCTCAGGCCTCAGATTGGGTACTGAAAGAGATGGAATAAGTTCTCATCACTATTCAACAAGAATTGTGATAGTAGGCTTCATATGGATACTTTTTAAACGTGCCCTATTGTAAAACAAAGGAGCAGTTTTTTAGGGAGCCAAAGTAGTGAAGACCAGGTGTGTCACAAGTGAGTGCCTCCATATTTATATTTCAAGTGAGAATTTGGCAGTATGAGTTACATTCTTTAGTAAAACCTTAAACTGTACATGCCCTTTGACTTGGCTTCAGTTCCTTATCCAAAACACAGGAATAGTAAATATCTCCTACTACAGAGAGTTGTGAAAAGTAAGATAAAATGTGCTCAGATTGCTTAGCACTTTGCCTAGCCACTAGCAGTGAAAGGAAACTGCTATTACTATACTGTTGTTGTTTCCAAATAAGGTCAGATCCGGAGATTTTTTTTTAAAGTCCATGTGGAAGACAAGGTTGACATCAGTCCTCTTATAATAATCTATGACTATTCTCTCTTCAGTGAATGGATATGGTCAGGGAATGCCTACAGAAGCTTTTCCTCATAAAGCATTTCTGAGTCTGCTTCAGGATACAAGGAAATAAATTTTAAGCTCCAAAGCCCCACACCTTCAGTATCTGAGTCTAGAAGTGTTTCACATTCAAAACTTTCAAAGTAATAATTTCTAACTATCCACCCTAACTCCAGCACCACAGTTATGCATCCCAACATGCCCTAGATTGAGTTACAGGATGCTCCTCTGAGTTACTAAGTTAATTGGTTAACTTGATTTAAGTCAATGTAATGGAGAACATGTATGAAAATAATTAGTATTTTAGAGGCAGAGCTGCTTATAATTAACAAAATCATATCAACAAGAAACAGAATAATACCTATTTTTAATAACCCAAGAATGTGCCTTCTAATCATCTAAACATAGTTTTAGATCACTGATACACAATAAATTCGAAAGAGAATCATAGCCCTGAAATTACTGTGTGATCTGCTAAAATACCGTTCCTGTCAATGCTCATCACCATTGCAGTTCAGCTTTTATCAGATGTGTTTGTGTCCAGAGCAAGGTCATCAGAATACAGAGGCTCCTAAATGACTGCCTCAGAGACTTTCATGTTCATAACTGGCTTAAATAAGAATGGGATTTTCTCACTTTCATGTTGACCTGGTAGCAAAACTCAGTTCTAAAATAGTATAAAACCAGCAGAACAAAACAAATTGATGAAGATGCCATCAACCATGTTTATACTGACTGTATTATGAAATAAGCTTTTATCAAGTGTTACTGATACCCAGAACTATTAAATGCTTCTAAATATTTAGGTCTTATTAAATTTTAAATACATTTATAGGCAGAAATCTTAATTAATTCTCCATATTGCTGCTTCCAGAAAAGCAAAGACAGTAGAGCTTTTCTTATCGAGATTATGTTGTAAAATTCTGTTATGATTATTTTGGGAGTATATAATTGTTTCTCTCTAGCCTCTCAAAAACAAAAAAATAGTACAATGAAATATAATAGTGTCTCACCTTAAGTTTGATGATATTAACACTAAGGAAACCAGTTTTGCAAATATTTCAACTATTGTTTCCTTATGTTATTTTCAAGGTTCAGATCATGATTGCAGGTACATTCATGAAAACATTACAAACTGTAGGCATCAAAGTTTATACTTTTAATTCATCAGTTTCACATTAGGCCCTTAACTTCATGATAGACCTAATAGAAGAAAAACAAGCAGTGGAATCCATAATACACAATAGCAAATTATGTAATAACAAAATTTTGTGTATAACAAACAGAACCAATCTTATGAATGGTCAGAAGTAGGAAATAGTTTTAGTACATTGTGGAATTTCATTTTTATATAGGCATAAAAAACAATTATGGAGCTTTATACACATTTGTGGAAATTTTTATTCTGATTTATGTTGGGAAAATTTTTAAATCTGAACAGATTATCCCAAACTTTATATTTGGATTGGAGAGAGACTGTGTACAAAAATTAAAAAGACTTTTAATTGGTGAATATGGTGCTGATTGTAATTTTTCCCCAAAACTTGCACATTCTTTAAAAGTTGTTTTTGGAATACTTCAGACTTTGGGGGCATTATAATTGATCATGATGTTGAATGATACTTAAACCTCTTGACAATTACACATATTACTCTCAGCCCATAAAGTATTGTTTCTTTTATAATTTTATATATAAATTTTCTCTACACCCCCAGCAGATAATGTCATTCACTCTTTTTGGGAGACCATTCATCTGAACCACCTAGAGTAATATCGCTTTAGTTTTACTAGTCAAATATGTGCGACTTCAAAGATCATCTGATGATCCGCTGCCTGCCTCACAAGTGCAAGGTCCCAAGTTCGATCCCTGGTACCAAAAAAACAAAAGATCATCTGATGGTCCAATAGCAAATGAGTTAAATGTAAAATATATCAGAATATTTCAACTCAGGCATTTTTCTTTCCTTATCTGTTTAACATTTTGGTCTTCTAAGTAAAGTTTCTTTCAGTGCAATGGTCCTACTATTAAAAACAAATTTAGGGCCAGGGATTTAGCTCTGGTTTCGCCGCCTGCTGTGCAAACGCAAGGACCCAAGTTCGATCCCTGGTACCAAAAAAACAAAAGATCATCTGATGGTCCAATAGCAAATGAGTTAAATGTAAAATATATCAGAATATTTCAACTCAGGCATTTTTCTTTCCTTATCTGTTTAACATTTTGGTCTTCTAAGTAAAGTTTCTTTCAGTGCAATGGTCCTACTATTAAAAACAAATTTAGGGCCAGGGATTTAGCTCTGGTTTCGCCGCCTGCTGTGCAAACGCAAGGACCCAAGTTCGATCCCTGACACCAGAAAACAAACAACCAAACAAATTTAAAGCCACTGATTTCAGTTCACTGTTATCTACTGAGAAGTGGTCATCTCTTCAGTGATTATGTATATGTAGGGATTGGAAGCTCA